TTTACCAGGGCCACAGAGGATAATTGCTTATTCTTGGTTTCCCACCTTGGCTGAGCAGTCGATGGTTCTGATTGTTCCCACCTCCACCATGCCAGAGCTCCCGTGGGATCAGGGAGTGTCTCACGGCTCCCCTGGTTTGGTCAAGGGATATCAGGAGCTTCTGAGGATGAGGGGGGTGACTGTGTGTGTGTGTGTGTGTGTGTGTGCACCCCCACACCATCACAAGTATCTGTGTATTTACAGCAGGTTAGCTTTTCTCCTGTTATCAGTTCCTTTCTTCACTTGGGTGACAAAGGTCCTTGAATTGCTTCTAAAGTCTCCTGCCCTGAAAACACAGGATGGAATTTTGTCTGTATGTCTTGCACAAACCTTCCACTCCCAGCAATGTTAAAAGAATGCTATGGCTGCAAATTCAAGTAGAGGGCTGTGTTTGTAAGGTTGTTAAATACAAAAGAAGAAGCCATTGGAAGATAAAAGCCCACCAAGCAGGGGAAAACCCAACTTTATTATTTCATACCAAGTCTGATCCGTTCTGACACAGCAATTAACACCTCTGCTTTTGTCCCTCATTTATACGGATTTTATTTATGAAAATATTTTGGCAAGCATTTGATATTCGACAACCAAGAAAGACCTTTTTGCCATTTCACCAACAAGGTCTTAAAATAATATTCCCGAGGTTAATTTATCTGACCCAGTTATGTTTTTTAACAGCAGCAACTTACTCAGGCAAAATCTGAGTATTTGCAACATCCAGTCTGGCTTTTTCTCTGCCCATTCTTTACAGTAATATGCTTGGTTTAAATCTATTCCTTCCAGTCTCTGGAATGTTTTGTTTCCTTTTACCTTTTCTCTCTCTTCTTTTTTTTTTTTTTTTAAATTTTTTTTAAAGCTGTCTTCTCTTTGGTTTTGTTTAGCTCCTTTTTTCCATTACAGTTCTGTCCCTCTGCAATGGTTTCCCTCCCTCTCCCACTGCTGCACACGTTGTTGCTGTCCAGAACAGATAAGGACCTTGTGACAGAGATCCTTTGTTGGCCTTTTTTTTTTTTTTTGGTCAGAAAAGTGCAAAATACAACCTCTTTAATCAAAGGACGTTCCAGCCAGTTACACTCCTCAGTTCTTCAGAGCAAACTCATATACTCAGACTTTGTTACAAACAAGTTCAAACCAAAGTCAAGGTCAGAAGGACGGCATTAACAGAGCTCATTTCCCCCGTCACTTACCCTGTTTCATATGTACTTTTTTCACATGTGATGTACTGAAATGCTCACGCTTTTGGTGTTGCTAACAGAAGGCAGATGTGAGGGGGTAGGTGCAAGGGAAGGCAGCACTGCCTGTAATTATGCTCTGTTAGGTAACATTTGACTGTGGGGAGACCTTGTTGCTGTCTGTCTCTGAAGATGTGCTTGTCACTTGGCAGCTTTAAAAATACACCTGCAGTTACATCCAGAATTATTTTACAGATCCTGTCACTCTGCAGGACACACAGATAGTGCTGGAAGTCAAAACTTGTCTTTTAAAGTTAATCTCTACATTCAATCAGGGGTGAACTCTGAGTGAACTGACTGGCTTTCGAAACATACTTTGCATTTCTGATACTATCTTCCTTCTTAAAAGTATTTTATAAACTGTTCTGTTTACCAAGATGCCAAACTAGTAAGATCCAGTCAGCTCTGAAGTAGAAAAGAGCAATCCCCTCACAGGGAGTAACCAGCAGTTCCACTGTGCAAGGAATTTTATCTCAATCAACAGGGGCAGGTCGGCTCCCTGCTATGGAAAAAATCAAGACACGAGTTAGTTGGTGTCTTCAAGATACTCTTCAGCAACCTCAGTAAACTTTCGTGACAAGTTTGACTTGTTTTCTTTCAAACCAGCAGGTTCTGGCATAAAGTGAACTAGGATTTAACTTATCATAGCTTCTCAAAGAGCGGGATGCCAAAAGCAAACCAGCATTACACCTCAGTGCACAGAACCACAGCTCAACACTCAGATGCACTGCCTCTCCCAGCCAAAACCCACCAGCTGCATTTCTTAGCCTGATTACATCCTTTCAAGTAATAGCTCCAAAGTCTGCAAAAAAGCCCCAAACAAGCAACTGAATTAATGTGTTGTTTGGCACACTTGGATAAACACACAGATTTACCACAAGACAGGGATCCATTCTGAATCGAGGGGGAAGCTGCTGTAGGTATTTCCTGAAGTGTGTGTTTCGCCTCTCAGACATCCTCGATTGCCTTTCTTTGTTGCTGCTGGAAAGAAACTCCTTTCTATTTCAAAGTTCACAGGTTTCAACTCACTCCAAAAATCCTCTTCTCACTGTGACTTCTGCTCCTGAATTTTCTGTCATTTTTCTCTTAATGGTGTTGGCCTGTCACTGTCATATTTAATTGTTCACATTTCAGAATAATACCATGGTAATATAACAGATAATGTCACCTCTTGTGCATTTGGAACAGTATCTAAGCCTCCCTTTGGTTGTATTTTATGTGGTTACTTTTGAAATGTGCTTAATTGGGAAGTATTGATATTCTTTGTCCTTAGTGACTTTCCCAACTCCTTGCAAGGAAATCCAGAGCTTATGTAATGTATTATTGTTGTGAGTACTGTTGGGGTTTTAAAATAATAGGTTAAGGATATAAAAGGAGAAAAACTTACAGGAAAAGATAATAACATTTCTCAGATTAGTTGATTCAGACTGAAAAATGGAAATTCTTTCAAAGGCGCTTCTTCACAGAAATTTCCTCTCACGTTATTTTTTAATGAATGTGAACCAAAGAAGAATATTAGGCACTGTAAATCTACAGGATGGGCCTGACCTTGAGGCTCAAGCTCAGGCAAATATTTAGCAAGTCTTTTAACTGCTATCTACAGCTGACAAAATATTCTAAGACACTCAACAAATTCTTTAGTAATACATTCCAATGTCATTACAATGCAGTGTCAAATAGCATTCCAAGCTGGATTTCATACACTGCTTCTGGGGTTTAGGGAGAAGAATATCACCTGGTTCTTTTAAAACACAGTCTTTGCCCTTCAGGTTTATTGAACTCTCAATATCAGCATGCTGAAACTCCTTGCTGCCTTGACTGGCAGCAGGGAAGGGTGAAGGGCAAAGAGCCAGAGGCTCTGCAGAGCTTCCCCAGCTCAATCACACCTCAGTTTTAAGGTGACATTGGTTACATTCTTCCTTCTCCCTTCCTGTTCTCCCTGATCCTATCCTCCACCTTCCTTGTCACTAGGAATATGATTCTCCAAATATTTGCTAAGCCTTTCTAGGGGCTGCAGTACAGTGATATAAGGAAAGTGAGAAGGTGAGGAATGATGTTTAGGGAATATTACAGACAGCTCACAAGGACACGGTGCTCTTACACCAATTAAAAGTTGGTGATTTCAGTGTGTTTTTGCCAAAACACTCGATATGGAGTAAAAACTGGCTATCCTTACCAGAGTTCTTCCTAAAACTATACCACAGTATCCATCCACACTGCCATTTAATGAACAAACCGGAAGGGTCAGGTCTGTCACATCAGCATGCAAAACCTGTGAGTCCCAACTGTACCTGAAAACAATGGAAGTGGCTGACTAGAGAAACAAGGGAAATTTTTTAATGCCTGTGTTTGGGGAGTTTATGCCAAGAAGTGCTTCAGGTCTTTAAAAGTCTGTGAAATGGTACCATGAGTAGAATTATAAAACCACAGAATGGTTTCATGTCGAAGAGACCTTAAAAATTATCTTGTTTCCCCCCTGCCATGGGCAGGGACACCTTCCACTAGCCCAGGTTGCTCCAAGCCCTGTCCAACCTGGCCTTGGACACTTCCAGGGCTGGGGCAGCCACAGCTTCTCTGGGCAACCTGTGCCAGGGCCTCCCCCCCCTCGCAGGGAAGAACTGCTTCCATATATAGCTCTGAAAACTCCAATTACCACATTAAACCCGAGAATGATTCATTTCCAACACAAGTTTTACGACAGGAATTTTAGGGGTACAGGTCTGGAACAGCCTGCCTTGGCACAATCCCAGCCTTTTTTCCTCCTCCGACCTCCATGATTTCTTGCGCAGAGCGGCAAAGAGCGAGTCGGGCTGTTCACCGAGCGCCAGAACAAACCACGCTGGGGGGACTCGGGAGCTTTAGGCTTTGGCTTTAAGGAATCAGGAGCCAAAAAAAAAAAAAAAAAAAAAAAAAAAGAGAGAGAGGGGAGGGGAGGAGGAGGCTGTGGCTGTCGGCGGTGGGATGCGCCGAGCCGAGCTGCCCCCTGTGCCTGCCCCGGTGGCCGTGCCCAGGTGAGCCGTGCCCAGGTGAGCCGTGCCCAGGTGAGCCGTGCCCCGGTGGCCGTGCCCCGGTGGCCGTGCCCAGGTGAGCCGTGCCCAGGTGAGCCGTGCCCCGGTGGCCGTGCCCCGGTGGCCGTGCCCAGGTGAGCCGTGCCCAGGTGAGCCGTGCCCAGGTGAGCCGTGCCCAGGTGAGCCGTGCCCAGGTGAGCCGTGCCCAGGTGAGCCGCGCTGTGCCACCCGCTGTCCCCGCACCGCGCCCCAGGATGCGGCGGCCGCCGCCAGCCCCGCCTCGCCGGTAGAGCTGCGGAAGGTAACGCTGCCGCCTCCTCCTGCTCCTTCTTCCTTCTGGATTTAGCTCTGCGTTCCTCTCACCCCGGCCCTTCTCCTCCCTAAGGCTCCCGTCACCTCCCCGTCCCCTTGGCACCGACCCCGCTGTCCCGCGGGGTCCCTTTGTGCTGCCGCTGAGCCCGGGTGCGTGTCACAGCCCCGCGGGTCTGGGGGTTGGCCTGGCAGGCTATTTTAGGGTTTTTAAGCGTTTCCCGGGAGCCGAGGCCGTTCCCATCTCCGTCCGCGGGGCTCAGATGTGTCCGTGTCCCACGGGCCGCGGGTTTGGGGCCGGTTTTAACCAAAGCCCGTAAGCAAGCCCTGCCTTTGGGAGCTGCCGGAACGCGCCGGCAGTGCGGCTGTTTCCCGGGCGCCGGGCAAGGCTGGGAATCCCTCCGGGTCATTCCCGGGATCGGCAGGAGCGGCTGTCCTGCCCAGCCTCCTGCTCCCGGCCTGGCTTTTCCCGGGGGGAAGCGGCGGGCGGGGTCCGGAGCATCCCTTTGCCCGCGGCTGCCTTGGGGTTGGAGCGTTCGGGGCGGTTTTCAGACGTGGAACTCCCTGGAAACACTCGTCCCGTTAAACCTTTGGCTCGGAGCTTCAGTCTTCTTGTTTCATAGATAGATCCTTAAATGAAACTTAGTGCCCTGAGCAGCGACAGAAGGTGAAATTAGGCGGTGCTTGGATGTCCCCGCCGTGTGTTCGGAGCGAGGACCCGGCTCCCATCCCGGCTGTCCGGCGTTCCCGCATCACCGCGGCTCCCACCGTGCCACGAGGGAACCTGGTGGGCGAACAGCTGCCCCCGCCTTTGGGCCGTCCCAGGGGATGTTCCAGAGCAGTTCCCGGTGCTCCGACCGCGGGGAGGTTTGACCCCTTCTCACTTGCAGCTATTCAGCCCTGAGGGTGGGGGATTGTTGCTCCCGCTTCCTTGCACAGCTCCTGCTTCCAGGAACCAGCTCGGGGAGCTAAAAGGAAACAACGAGGTCCGAAATGTTGGTATTGACAACATTTGACAATATCTCGCCTGTGGTGAGATGATGCTTTTATTGAATTTGAGAAGTTGCTACTGTAATTAATAAAGCTTTTTGTTTTATTCAGGGCTCGGAGATGGATTCACCAGAACGAGCCACAATTAGAAGTGAGCAGAAATCCAGGTAACTTGTGTTGCAAAGGTTATGTTTATGTGTCTGTGTGTCTATGTACACACACATATGTATTTATTTAAGTGTCTCAATGACAATCTGAAACCACAGGGGGCATAAACTACTGAATATTGGATACAAGAACATCATGCATGAAAAATTGAAGTGATTCCAGTAACTAGTTTCTCCACGGACCAAGTGGTTCATGCTCAGTTAAGCCGTTTGTGAGGAATGAATAATGAACTTCCTGAGAGGAAACAATTTGGGCTGAATGTAGCAGGCAGGGATGGGGGGTCATCAGACGCATTTTCTTTGTAGGCAGGAGCTGGCAACCCTGTCTACATTTATTTATTGCTTTGCCTGAGGCCATTTCAAGTTAAACACTGTAGTTTGAGTTAGACAGTTTCAGGTGCTTGTGAAACAAGAGGTGTTAAACATCCATGTCACCAGGAATTGAAAGATCTGTAAAGGTAGTTGGGAAGTCAGGGGTGTTTTGAGATTCTGTGTTACTGAAATCCCTGTTTGTACAGAAGTGATTTCGCTGTATGGTTTAAAAGCATTTTCACTTCTCTGCTGAGTAATCAAGAAGGATTGTCCTGACAGTTCCCTGTGCTGGTTTGTGCAGGGAGTGTGGACACAGCACAGATTCACCTCTGAGAGGGATCTGTGGGTAGTAACATCTGAGCAGTGGGTTGGATGGACCCTTGATCTGAACCAGCATGACTGCTGTGTTCACATATCCTGCACTGAGCACAAACGAGAATGGAGATACTGCTGCTTCCCAGGAAAATAACCAAAACATCGTTTCTTTGAAGCATCATGCCTTCGGGATGAGCAGGAAATGCGCTGTGCACAAGGAATTTTTGTTTTCTGTTTTCCAGGAAGTTCCTGAAGAGCCTGGTGCGGAAGCAGCCGCGGGAGCTGCTGGTGGTGCTCGGGACGGGCGTGAGCGCCGCGGTGGCCCCGGGAATCCCGGCCCTGTGCTCCTGGAGGAGCTGCATCGAGGCCGTACTGGGAGCAGCCGAGCAGCTGGAGGTGCTGCACCCCGGGGACGTGGCGGAATTCCGCAAGAAGGTCACCAAAGAGAGGGACCTGCTCGTGGTTGCCCACGATCTCATCAGGAAGATGTCACCGGTGAGCGTGTCTGTGACCTCTGCTCGTTTCTAAAACTACTTTGTGCTTTTATTTGGTTACCAAAACTTGACCTTTTTTCTGGTGAAAATGGCCATTTTGTGGGCAGTCACGTAACACACCGTATGTTTTGGAGAGCCTAAAACATCCCTGGGTTTTAGTGTGAGTCAGCTTTCATCAGAATTAATGCAACCAGGAGTCCTGACTGTTAAATATTCCCTGTGATTCACTTCTGGGAAATGAAAGGGGAATTTGCAGCTCTGTGGAAAAAACTAGGAGGACCCTGAAAATACAGGTGGGCCCTGACCCTACTGATGGCCTTGGCCACACAGAGTGAATCACTTCCCTAAGGACAGTCCCTACACGCCCAGGTTCTCAGCCATCCACTGAGTTTCCAGAGGCTCTCAGACTCTGTTAAGCCCTTTGCCAAGTCTTCCTTTTTGCTGAAATATTCAGGGTGACAGACATAGCCCCAAGTGTAGGCTGTGGGGGATGTTTTGCAACATGTGGGCAGCCTCTCTACAGGCCCAGTGTAATAATTACCCCACTGTTGAGGGGACTCTGTCTGTGTTTATGGTAGATTTAATCATTAATAACAGTTTTCTCAGCCAGGAAGGGAAAAACAGAAAAAAAGAAATTTCCACCTTCAATAGTATATCCCAGACTCTGAATCCAGGGAATGGTCATTTTAGTGCTGTTTTCTTGTACCTGTGTTACAAGGCTCTCTTGAGAAACCCAGCCTAATGTTTGGAGCTACACTGAGTGGAGGCAACACTGGAAAATAAATTGGGATTTATTTTGGGTGCTTTTGCTTGGTGTGCTGTGCAAGCCCTCTGTGCTCTGGCATTAAGTATCCAGGTGAAGTGGGTTCCTGTGGGAGGCAGGGATCACAGAGCTGATGAAGTGTTCCTCTGCTCTCTCCTCAGCGTACTGGGGACACGAAGCCCAACTTCTTCCAGGATTGCTTGATGGAGGTGTTTGATAACTTGGAGCAGCACATCCAGAACCCTGTGGTCCTGCAGTCCATCCTGAGGCTCATGGAGAGAGGCACAATGGTTCTGACCACAAACTATGATAATTTGCTCGAGATATTTGGTCAGCAACAGGGCAAACCTATGGAATCTTTAGACCTTAAAGACAGGGATAAGGTATGATGAGAGCAGTAAAATTAGTAGATTTCATATAAGACAAGGCAGCTGGAAAGCTTCATTTAAAGATGTTTTCCTGTTTAAACAGTGTCAAGACTAAAGCTTGTTAATTGGTAGAGCATGTCTATAAGCTGCAGCAGATGCCCAGACATTTCTTTTATGTGTCTCTTTATTCTGAGTAATCTGGTAACAGTCACCAAGGAGAATTTCAGTGACCCATTTATTGACCAGTTCCCCACATTCGCTGTGAAAAACCCACAGATTTATTTAACTTCTGTGAAATTGTTAAAATCCCAAGCAGGATTTCACCTGGCTGGTGAAATTGTGCTGTTCATACCTGGAATTTGCTGCTTGGTCGAATGCTTGTTTAGCCCCAAAAGGCAGAGACAGCTGCAGGATCAGCTGTCACCTCTTTGTTATGATTTCAAGTGAGCTGTGTGATTAGCAATTACAATCTCTTGCTGCAGGGAAGTGCAAAAGGAGTTATTGCTGCTTTAAATGGTTTATAAGTCAGTCCAGCTGTTTAGTTTTCCAGGATCCTGGTGATTGTGGTCCATTATAACTGCATGATTTGCTTCAGGTTCTTCAGTGGGCGAGAGGCCACGTAAAATATGGAGTTCTTCACATTCACGGCTTATACACAGATCCCTGTGGAATGGTGCTCGATCCCTCGGGATATAAGGATGTTACTCAGGATCCTGAAGTCATGGTTTGTGTGATCTTTACATTTTTTACCATGTTTTGCCGAACTGTTTTATCGTAATCACTGCAGACATGTTACCTAAGGCTGGGGCTGTGTGGGGTCATATAAACGAAATACTTGGGGCCCAGAGAAATGATTCAGAATTATTCAGAAAGGCAGCTGTGTTGCCAGGGCAGTGCCCTCATATACTCCTGGTAAATCACAGTCAAACCCCTCAGCTGGATGTCTCAGTTGCAGTTCTTTGTATTTGTCTTAGGAAAGAACAGGAGCCTCAAAATACTGGACACCAGGACAAGGATTCATCACCATAAGATTGCTTGGATTCATGATTTAGGGGCTTAAACTGTTACCAGCTCTGGATCTTGGACTGAATGTCGTATCTTAGCTGGTTTAGGAACTCAAACATTTGGTCAAGAATATTAATTCTCCTTATTTACAGACTGACCTAATGGGAGCCCAGTATTCTGTCATCACAATTCTTTCAGTTTAATTTCCCTTGCTGGCAACACTTATGTGTCTGTTTGAACTTCACAGAATGGCCTGGGTTGGGAGGGACCTTAGAGGTCACCTAGTTCTAACCCCCATGTATTTGTATAACTTGGATTTTTTTTCTTTTTTTGGTAGAAACAATAGTTACAAAATGTCAGTTTGGCCTGGTCCTAAAACATTTGCTTCTTTCAGCTCCCTAGTGAAGGTTCTGCTCTGGTGCTCCTTTTCAGCCTGGCTTATTTCAGAAGTCCTGACCTTGGCTTTGCCTGCTGAAGTAAATGTGGCTTTTGTTTGTTTCTGTGCCTTCACAGGAAGTTCTTCAGAACTTGTACCGGACCAAGTCCTTCCTGTTTTTGGGCTGTGGGGAGACTCTGCGTGACCAGATATTCCAAGCCCTTTTTCTTTACACAGTAAAGAACAAAGTGGATTTAGAGCATTACATGTTGGTGCTTAAAGAAAACGAAGACCACTTTTTTAAGCTGCAGGCAGACATGCTGCTGCACGGGATAAAGGTGGTGTCCTACGGGGACTGCTTCCAGCAATTCCCAGAGTACGTCCAGGATCTCACTGCTCAGATCTGCAAGCAGAGGAGCCCAGGTAAGGAAAACCCAGGGCACGTGGCCTCCTCACCAGCACGGGCTGGACTGAACAGGTGCCCAGCAGTGCCCTGTGTGAGCCCTGCACAAGGTGCTGACCTCGTGTGCAGCTCCTTGGCTCCTGAGGGACATGCAGGCTTGGAATACGTGGCCAAACTGTGACCAGATCTGTTTTTTGGGAATCTGTGGATTTTGGAGGTCTGTGGATTCTTGCAACTCTAATCTTGAATTCTGAATTTGCCTTTTTGCTAGCATTTGGTAAAGATGTTCACTTGGTGGATTTTTTTGGCGTGAACTATTCCAGCCTACTGAGTGTTATATTACCTGAAATCTGACGTGTCAGGAGACTGAAGGAATTGAAGGAATTACCTGGTGGGATAACCTGTTTGAGCCACAGTATCTGATCAAGCATAGAATGGGAAATTAAATCCGTGCCTCCAATAAATGTTGGGCTTATCACAGTCAGGGCTGATGGGGAGAAACAACTCTGTCACAGGAAAGAGATTCCTTTCATGTTTTCCAAACAAGGACTGGTCTGCTATGGTTTATCCAGAGAACTGAGCAAAATAACTAAATGACCTTGGGAAGAATTACTATTTGTCAGCTCTTTTATTTATCAACTCAGTGAAACTGTTTTGTCTAAAATTACTCCAAGTGGTGCAGAGCAGGAACCTTCCCCTTGCTCCCCCGGGAAGAAAACTGCAGGTGCATGCCCAAACTATAGCCTGCTTTTTGTGACCTGATGAATATTCCAGTTAGACTGCATGATGTTTTTCTTTCCATGGAGGCTAGAAAAAAATATTTAGCTCAGCATGGAGGTTTCAGGACGTTTATCTGCAGTGTAGACAACTAAAAGTAAGTTGGTGTGCAGTTCCAGACACTGAACTCAGCCTGCTGGTGTTGATGGATGTACTTTTCATAGTCTGAGCAGTACCTAGAGCCTGTTCAGTCTGGAGAATCCAACTTAGTGCAGAGCAGCCAGGGAGGAAGACAGGTTTGCTTAAGGTCTAAATGGAAATGACTGCAAAATGCTCCCCTTTTCCTTGGGAATTCCTGATTGGCATCAGACGTGAGAAGAGGGACCTTACTCAGACTTGAAAGCCTTGTGATCTCAGTTACAAGGTCTCTCCCAACCAAAAACCATTCGGGATTCTAAACACAACCTTGCTGTTTTGGGATGGTGCCTAAATTATAAAAGTTTTCTGCATGGTAACCTGTGCTGCTGCTCTCTCACACTTCTCTAGATGCTGATCGGGTGGACAGCACAACCCTGCTGGGTAAGTAACATTTTTACTGTCTCAGAAAGTTCCATAATCCTACCAAAGAGAGAAAAATACATCTCTTGTTTCCAAAGTAACTAAATGATTACTGTGCACCGCTCTACTTTACCTCCCAAAGTCTGCTGCACGCTCTCTTTTTTCCCCTCTGATTTTCTTTCTGCTTATCAGCAGGTAACTGCTGGGTTTCAGCTGTCAATCAAATGATAAATGATAGAAAGGAAGAGCTCCAGGAAATGTATATAAAAAGTTATTAATGCTGCCTAGAGTACTCTAAGGTAATACTAATATCCATGAGGTTTTGACTTAGATTTCCAAGCACAGGTTTCTGTTCCAAAGCCTTCCTTAAGGAGGTCTGGAAGACTGAATCTAAAGCGTGTGGTACTGACGGTGAATCTTCAGCTAAGCTGTTCAGGGACTTTGTGATACTTCACAGAATAAGCTGAGCAATAATACATTCCAGTTTATGGTGTAAAATAGCAAAACTTCCCTTTGAAACAATGTAGAAAGATCCCACTCCTGAGAGCTCTGTGCTGCTGCAGGGGAACATCAGAAGTGCATAAAAGTAGTATTCCATTACTGTGCAGGAGCATCTTAGGCAGTGCAGGAGGAGAACCCCCCACTCTTTCCCAACCACGGAGCACACAAGGTCCCAGACACCTGTGGGCAGGTGTAAAGTCAGAGATTAGGTTTGTAATTCCAACTGGATCTTAGGCTTACTTGTCTTGCAACTGAGTTCACGAATCCCATTTTCAATAAAGTAAAATTAGGCATCAGTAAAGGAGAAACCAAAAACTTGAGCACAATTTATTCTTAACATAAAGCTCCTTACAGGTGATTTTAGCTCCTGTTTACTTGTAATTTGGAATACAGACCAAGTAAAACAGACTTTCAGCAGGGTTAGTGTTATATATAATTCAGAATCCAAACCCAAGAACCTCACGGGACCAGGACTGTGTTTACCTTTGTATCTGGTGCTTGTAGTAAAAATTACACCAAGCACATGTATGTAGCAACAATTTGGGGTTTTTTTCCTTTTCCCTCCCCAGGAACTTCATGTGTGGACTGTGCTAAAAGGAAGCTGGGAGAAAGTGGCACTGACTCTCCTAAGAGGATCAAGCAGTCAGATACACCCACTAGTGAATGAAAAAACCCCAAACACCCAAAGCCCACCCCAGAAGCTTTTTAACAGTAGGTGTTTTACGTCTGCTGCATGGAAAGTTTTGAGCCGGTATTTCCATGGTTTTAAGTGGAATAAAACTGTACATATTAGCCTTTCCTTTCTAAAGCTGTAAATGTGATGTGTGTGAAGCTGGAGCCACCGGTCACTCCCCTGGCAGGGCCAGACCCTCAGGCTGTACCTGCAGGGTCAGACAAGTGGGTGCAACTTTTCTCAAGCCCTTTGGACCAGACTCTGCTCAGGTGAAGCCACAAGAGAAGTAACTGGAATCTACCAAAATGCCCTTTGGCACAGCAGCCTGTGAAACCAAGGGGTTTCAGTTCCTTTCCCATCAGCTGGACCGTGGAGGCTGAACTCCAGGGGTCTGTCAGCACAAGGCTGCTTCCAGGCTTCAGATCCCTAAACCCTGAGGAACAGGAAGTGGTGTTCCACGGTTATGGAGCCCACAGCACAGTGACCCACCTGCTTTTCACTTTCAGCACGAGGGTTTGTTTTCCTCAGTCTGGTGAGGCAGGAAGGGCTGTGCCAGTGCTGTATCCACAGGGACAGCCCCAAGGCCCACAGGGCTCCCTGACCTCTCTGCTGGGGGTTTCTGTGGACATGTTTTACATGCTGTTACACCACAGGCTGTGCTGCCCCTTGCCTTGGACAGCAGGTGACAGAGTCCTGCTGCAGTGGAATGAAGCCCAGTCAGTATCCTGGGATGGATCTGCAGACAATTCCTGGTGTGGACCTTTGCTGTGGGTTGAACTACTCTAAGGGTGAAGGTGGGGCACTGCAGCACCTCTTTGCCCCAGGGACTGGTACTTCTCCCACTGGGGCACCACACAGACAGAATTATTACTTGAGTGGCTTGGAAAAGCTGATCCCACAGAGGGGCATGTTCAAGGCTGTTGGCGATTCCATTGCCCAGGGCTCTTTTTCTACTTCATTCATAACCTTTTTTTTTTAAAATGGGAGTAAGGTACTTACTGAAAACCAACCTGTTGACCATGACATTACCCTGTTTTGCTCAAGCTGTGTAACGAATTTGGAAGGACATCTCTGAAGGTGACATACACTCTTTCAATAAAATATTTAAAGTAAACTGTTCCTGTGTAGCAGCTGTCCCCGTTCTTCAGGCTGTTCATTTCTTCACTGCATTTTTCTGTCTCAACCACCTGCTCCCAGCAAATGGTTAAAGCCCCCCAAACAAACCAGGACTTGTGTATTAGCAGCACCCAGACTGCTGTAGGTCAGAGACCTTTGGACACCACTGAGGCTGCTCCTCCATCCACCCTTCACACTGCCAGAGGTCTTTCCACATCTGTCACTGGATTCTCAATGAAGGCACTCACATAAATTCATGCCTCAAATTAATTTATTAACGAAGTGTGGCCATAACACAAGTGTTTGATGAACATCTGCCTGCAGGAGCAGTGGGCACATGGATGTGGTTGGAATGTTCCTGCATGCCCAGCAGGGAGCACAAGCCCAGGGCTCCCAGCACACAACAAGGCAGGTGTGTGTAGGCAGTCTGGGGGACAAAAGGAACCTGCTCTGTGAACATTACAATTATTATGAACAACCATAAACCATGGGAAGCTCTTAGCACACACAGAGGGGGAACACAGGCCAGATGAAGTGATTCCATCTCCCTCAAAAAGGGTTCTGTACCCCAGCTTGGGGATGCTGTGCTAATGAACTTGCACCCTTCATCTTTACAGCCCAAACCCCCCAGAACACTGGGGGAGAACTTTGTGTAGGCGTGTGCACAACCTCAGCAACAACCTCGGGCGCTCTCAGCCCTCAACCAAACTGCAGGAAGGAGGAACAGCTCCTTCCATGACTGCTCTGCAAAACTGCTTCCCTTGGAAAGTGAACAAACATTCCCATATCAACCTCCAACAGCCACGTTCCAACTCACATTTGTCACAGTCAGCTGTGAACCCAGTTGCTGTTGCTGTGCCCTGGTTCTGTCCACGTGCTACCCCAGGACAGAGCTGCTTCTGGGCTTCTCTGCTCTGTCCTGCTGTTCCTGCTCCGGGAACTCGGTGAGATCCAGGGTCAGCACTTTGCTGAACATGATGTCATCGTGCTGGGAAGGGGGAGATCACAGCAGGGAACACGTTTCTCTTACTTGAAATAAGCATTTCATAAGTGTGAGAGACAACACCGAGCCTGAGCTCCCACAGGACATTCCCTGGAGCCTGTCCCTGCACAGCAGGGCACACCCAGCCACCAAACACTGCAGGTGGGAACCAGCACTTCCACACCACCCCCCAGCATCACTGAACAAAACCTGCTCCTAAGGGATTGTTACCTCTGGACACACTCCAAGCAAGGCGTCTGCCTTGCAGAAGAACTCCTCCTTCAGGGAAATCACTATCATTTGGAACTGCTCATGGGCCTGGTCCCTGATGAAACTCGAGACCTTTGGAAAGAAAGCAAACATTTCCTCAGTTAGTTCTGGCAGCCTGAAACCACCCTGTGATCAGGGAATGGCAAGGAGAGAACTGAACTGCGAGAGCTGCAGAATTCCATCGTGAAATAAGCTGGGTAAAATGAGAAATAAACAACTCTTAAGCCAGATACTTGCCCTGGTCTCAAGACACCCCCTCAGATCTGCTGCTTTTTGAAAACACGTAACAACATCATTCACCCCAATGAATAAAGTTAAAGAAAGAGGCCTGTGCCAAAGAGAAACAGTTTTACCTAATATAACTGCAAAGCAAAGTGGAAATTCCTGAATACTTAACAAAAAACAAAAAGGTGTGTAAAGTTTGTTACTGGCTACATAATAAGATCTGAAATATGTATTAGTTCACTGCGGACAGCAGTGTCCCTCAATATAAATTAAATGCTGCCTAAAGGAAAACCAGTACATTTTTAATAATGTACTGGCACAGTTCTGCCTGCACAGTTCTATCTACTTGACATGGAAATAATTGTTTAATGGAAGAACTGCCTTTAGTAAGTTACAGAATTCACACTGATTTCACAGTATAGTTCCATTTACTGCAGATCTGCTTTAATAAACCCCCAAACTGAAAGAATGGAAAGAGACTTAGCTCACACCTTCACCCTCCTCACCTCTTCTCTCACATTCACAGCTTGGGCACCAATCAAACACGCTCAGATTGAGGAATTTAAACCTCTCCCATGTCTGGTATCTCACACAACCATTACTTCAGCCCTAAACCTAATCTAATTTAAACCAGGTTCAGTCAGGGCAATCAATCTCTGCATCCCAACACCCTGCAGTCCAAGCAGCCACCCTCCTACAAAAGGTGTCAGATACTGATAAAGGATAACTTACTTTATCAATGTTTGAGTTGTCCAGGGCAGCATCTATCTCATCCAAAATAAAGAAAGGTGCTGGCCTAAAGCTGCAGGAGGCAAGACAGTATTTTGCACTTCGAAGCCAAAATGTTAACAAACATTCTAATTACTTAATCTCTAATAAAATTCTGATAATATTTTGCAATATTATATTTATATTTATTTAAATGAAATAATTAGATATTACTTATGCAATATTAAATAATACACAATAACTTACTTAATAGTTCAGAATTAACATAAAATTCTACATTTAATATATAATATTAAAGTCATGACAGGCAAAGAATAAGGTAAAGAATAAGAACTTTAGTAACGCCTGAATGCTCCATTAGCAGGTTTTTTAACATGTTTGTAAATGGAACACTGTCTCTCCTCCTGTCAGGCAGATCCTTGGAGAATCCCACAGTACTTTTCCCCCCTTGGACAACCCCAGGGCAGTGTTTTTACCTGTGTATGGCAAACACAAGGGCCAGGGCTGCCACGGTTTTCTCCCCTCCTGACAAACAGTCCATGGGCATGAAACGCTTGCCAGGGGCCACACAGTTGAAGCCAATGCCTTCCAGATAGGGCTCCTCGGGATTCTCAAGGCTCAGGAATGCCTGGGAACACACACGTGGCATTGTTAACAGGGACATTTATCAAATTATTAAGATGGGAATGGTTTGGGTTTAAACACTGCCTGAGCTAATGTGGAAATCAGGGAGTTGGCTTCATCCATCCATCCTGAGAGCAGCATTACCAAATTCCCAGGGAATATGGTTTTGTTAAGGAACCAGGAGGCTCATTAACAAAACCAGTTTGGAAATGGCACCACCTATTTGTTATTTGCACACTTTCAACTACTGAACAAACTCGATTTTATCACCTTTTATGTAACTGCTTTTTTTTTAGTTATTAGAATTTTAGACTTAAAAAGCAGCTTGGAAGACAATACACTTGCAAAATTAGCCTTTTTTGTGGAAGGTTAGCTTTACAGAGCCCAGCTTTGAGCTGGAGAAAGACTGCTTTTATTAAAGTCTTTCTCCATACTTTGTATCCTGGTTCCCAGGGCCAAAAATTGAAAGTATTATTTTAAAGGAATTATCATTTTTCCAAACCACTAAAAAGTACAATGGGTAAGATCTTTGCTACGTGGTTTGTTTTTCCCATTAATAAAAGAAACAATAAAAGAATAAAGTCTCTTCCCCTCTGCGCAGGGGGAGACAGATAAAAGAGAAATTTCCATACTTAACCCTGACTTCAAATGTCTCCTCTTGGATCACAGACACAGAAGAAGAAAACCAAACCAATACACAACACGTTGAGGGAGAACACAGAAGCTGATGAATTTGATGTTTTAAAACAGAAAAGAATCCAATCCTGAACCCTTTAAACACCCCACAGTCTATGGAACTTGATGTAACCAAAGCATTAGGGAGTTCCCTCTTCACTTTTGGCATTAATACAGGCACAGTAACAAAGATAATTGTGGGACAATTTTTCTATGTGTTTCTTAAAAGCTGCAAACTTATTATGTCTGTGTTTCCTAAATGTTTAAATGGGATACACAGAGCTTCAAGACCTTGTACAAAACACTGATTTATGATTTTGAGTTTTGTCTGTATTAATGACTGTTTTTAACTGCTTATTATTGGTATCACTAGATGTGCAAACCAGTATTATTTTTAAATGAATTACTCAGTTACATTTCACATTTGTGTCCTGATAATTTGTAAGTCTGATAAACACAAAGAGTAAAACTACCTCACTGAGCAGTTCCCAATTTTATTAAGAGATTACCTTTCTCTGTCTAATGCCCAGCACGCTTTGGCTTGTCATCTCCCTTCTCTGACCCTGAACTCCTGCATCTTTATTATTTGTGCCATTTCCCTCTCCAGGACTGAGACTGTCTTTGCAAAGCCCGAGTGTTACTTTGGTAACAAAGCATCCAGTGAGGCCTCTTGGGCCAAGCCCCCAAGCCCATGACCCACCTGAGCACTGCTGTTCCTGCACAGCTTCTTGTAGATCCTGTCAATGGCTATGGAGGCGTGTTCAAAGCACCTGCTGAACAGCTCATACCTCCTCTTTTTCACCTCCTCAAATTCCTGCCGGCACGTTCTGGCCTCCTTCCTGCTGCTCTCAAAAGCTGAGGAAAACAGATCACAGGAATTCCTCTGTAAGAAGCCTCTGAGCAAATACACAGAACAAAGCTATGTTGGGTACCGTGAGCAGCACCAAGGAAAACACTTACTGCAGAAAAAATACACATACAGGGAGCAATACCAATACAAGGAGTTTCCTTCCTCTGAAACCTTTCAAATGGAGGCCCCAAAACCTGAGAAGTTGTGGTGTATTCCATCTCCTCTACACCATATTTGATTGGAGCAAGGAACAAAATTCTTCTCCTAATTCCTTCTGGAAGCTGGGCAGCCCTAAGCAGCTCCAGCATCGACCTGGTACAGCTCCAGAACCCTTCCTGTGCTCATGGCTGCAATGCTCTCTGGGGACACTCATCAGTTTGAAGGAATGCTCGTGTCTGAGTTCTGGACAACATACACAGTTCCTTCAATTATGTAGGAAAAATGTAAAAGATTAAAGATTTAAGATTAAAAGTCAGTCATTTTCACAAAGCAAGTGAAAATACTTTATGATGTCATTCAGGCAACAAAGTCTCTTTCCAATCACTCAATGTGTATTTCAACTGCATACTCACCTGTATGTTAAACAATTGTTTACATATCATTAAAAAATAACTGAGATAACATTTGAGCACAAAAAAATACCTTAGT